TAGGTGTCACACCCTTGGGACGTCCCTGGATACAGAATTTGCATGGCAAAATCATTTCACGAGTTACAAATGAAGCAGCAATTCAGGGAGATCACCGTATACCATATTCGTGGAAGTAAAAATAGTTGGCGGTTAATATCACATTAATAATTAAGAAATATTAAAAAAAGGCAAGAAATAGAATAGAATAGAGATCACGTAAGCCTACATGGCATAGATACTAATGTAAATAAGAATTTAACATGGCCATTTTCTCGTGTTTTACTTTCAGTCCAAACCCAATATTGCAAAAGCTCATGCATGTTGCACCCTCAACCCTGCATTCAGTTGACACTTACTAGAACGATGACAATTACCACAAAACACACTATCAAGTTCTCTATGCACTCGTAGATCTCAGATTATATAGATCAAGTACTGCTGAGAGATTAAAGGGAAAACGGGCTGAGGATTCATCAAGCGATACAAGAAAGCAATCTCATATGAATCACTACAAGCAGAAAAATATCATGGGGATCGCAACCACCGAAACAGAAGTCGAATTAGAAAAAATGATCGAAAATAGTGATAGCACATAAGCGGAAATATAAATCAAAATCTTTATACATCAAAAGAAAGAATCACAGGCATAGATACCCACAACAATCTAAGAATCTGACGAAAAAACTGATGAATGTCGAAGCATACCAGGTGACTGGAAAGGATGACCTTGGCGCCATAACCCATCAAGTACTTAATAGTGGGCACAGCAGCACGAACTCTGGTGTCATCGGTGATGTTGGAGTTATCATCCAGAGGCACGTTCAGATCCACTCTCACAAATACCTTCTTGCCCTTCAAATCAGCCTCCTTCAAGGTGCTCACGCTCCTCTTGGTCGCCATTGAAATACCTTCAAATCGAAAACCCAAAAGCCATACCGATCAGAGATTAAAAAAAAAAACACAAAACCTGTCCCTAAATATCAGATTTAGAATAGAGAAACTTACGGAACAAATGCAGAACAGAAATGAAGAAGTGAAGTTTTCAGAGTGAGAGATCAAGCAAAAACAAGAAGGTTAGGGAAAGTTCCAGAATATTTATAGACAGAAGACAAAGCGTAATTAGCGTGAAGGGTGCGAAAAGGAGGAGAGCTGAGCCAGACACGTGAGTGACTCTTCAACGTTCGCGAACCACGAGCCGATTCCAGAGCGCACCAACTCAACTCGGTGGGCGCAAACAAATCAGGGGACCAAACTGAAGCCAAAAAGTTTCCCTGGTATTGAGGGGGAATAGAATTTAACGATGAAATTTTTTTATTATTTTTTGAAATCAAAAGGAATTAACAATTACTTTGAAAATTATCTTATTTTTTTATTACATGCATGTCATAGTTTCCAATTATCCATCAGTACTTTGTAATAATAAAAATTAGTATCTCAATCGATAAATTACCAAATGTATAATTATTTTTTTCTTCGAGTTATTAGAATAAAATAAATATTCATTATGTCCTTGTTAAATAACTTAAAGAAAAAGTGTATATAAACACTATCTAGTGAATTTTCTATTCAAATAACACTTTGGCGTGATAAAAGTGCTAGACAACATTAAAAATAAAAAAATAAAAAGAAATTAGTGTATTTATAAAAATTGTAAGAAGTTATATTAATCTGAATGTACACAGACACAGGCACAATTTGAAGCAGAAGCAAGATTAAGCCCTCATGTGCAATTCTATCAAATTTTATTCCATTTCGATTCAATAAGAATGTTGGTTTCCATTGAAAAATTATTAGAATATTTGTTATTATAATTTTACGTTGCTTTTATATAATGAGGTCAGTTATCTTTTTATTATGTGTTTTTGATGAATCTTTTTATAATTTGTTGTAATTCAAAATAACCAAACTACTCTTTTTATTTTGGTCTTTGAAATTAAGGCTAGTTTTTATTCGGAAACTTACTTTATTTTGATTCGCCTAAAGATTTTTTTGTTCTTGAAACAAGATTTTAAGAACCAAAATCAAAATCAAGTCAAAATTTTAAAAGATAAAAATATTATTAAGATTATGAAGAGGAATTATTGAGGTTCCCAAAAAGAGTATAATAACCCTACAAATTTTTAACGACAAACAAGCGTCATGTGTCTTATTATTATTTCAAAAACATTGAAACTTGTTATTCACTTGTTATGAGGTTTTTAGTAATTTAATTTTTTTTGGGATCGCATAGTGATTCTCCTTAGATTTTTATTTAATTGAAAATTTTAAATATTATATAAAATATATGAGTGTTTTACCTATCTATATCTGTTTGAAATAACTTCTAAATAGCTTTTCAACTATAATTTACAAAATATAAAATAAGCATGTAAAAGAAGTTTTATCTCGATTTACATGAAACATGGTTATAACTATTTTTGAACATGGTGTTTGGTAACCCTCATGGTTGCTTAAAAAAGATACTTTTATGTAAGTTGAGAAATTCTCATCACATATTTATCTGGAACCCATAAAATCATTTTTCAAAAAGTATTCCAAATACCTCCTCAAAAGATTTTCAACTTAAAAAAGCTGGCAGAAAGAAGAAGAAGAAGAAGCAGCTAAAGTCCAACTATCCATATGATCTCATCATGCATGCCCGCGCGAATGAGTTTTTCTAAAATAAAAGAAAAGGTGAAGTAGATCAATTCAAAATGTTTATAGAAATATTTATAGAAAATTTATTAATAAAATAATCACATTGGTATTAAGATTTGACCTTATAATTTCATTATTTTCAGTTCACTTTTTTATTAGTTGGATTAATTTTTGTTAGTAGGCTTGTTAGAGAAATAAGAATCCACAAAGAAACAATAAATTAAACCGGATCGAATGGGACCCGCAGATGATGGAAAAAGAGGATATTAGTCATATTACAAAGAATATTCGTAACGGGTATGAGACCTGTTTCAAACTTTCAATAGTATTAAAATAGGAAAGAAACTCACATAATGGATGGCTTTGAATTTTTTTTCAATGTGTTTTTTGGCCAAAAAAAATATTTTTCAATTTGTGAATGTTCTAGAATAAGAATGAGATGAAAAATAAATTAAAAAAATAAATATTATAAAATATATCTCGTTTATAGGTGAAAGAATTTATTTTCAGGTATTAAGAGTCGATGAGATTTTATTTTGGGTGGCATTTTTTCACTCACTAAGAGTTAATAACATTATCTGCACATAACTTAGAATTCAGAGAGCTATATATAATGTAGAAAAAATAATAATAAACCGCATGATTGCTGCCTTATGTCAAAAATAATAGCTATAAATAATAGAAAATACAAAAAAAAATCCTGGAGTCTCAAAAATTCAAATTAATGTTATTCATAAGTTATCTGATTTTTAATAAATAAATTTGTTTTATACACACACACACACACACTTTTCCATTAAAAAAATATTTACAAAAGTCAAAGGAAATCAAACAGCCAGGGGATTAGGTTTTTGCTAGTGGCTCACTTTATTCGGGTTCCAAGGAAAACACGTCGATGTGATTATTATACTCAAATTTTTTCTTTATTTGGATGCCATTTCAAATCTTCAATTTTTTTTTTAAGTTCACTCTTCACAAAGACATATATTTTAATTATGACTAAGTTTGACTGCACTTTTTGAGTAGATTCTTTTAAAGTACAATAAATTATTTCAAATTAAATTATGAAGTTTTGCAATTAAATTGAATTTTTGCAACTACGTAGTGGGAGTACATGCTAGGAACAGAGTGATATGCTTGAAAAAAAAAAAAAAGCCCATGATTATGTATCCAACAAATTCCTTTTTGCCAATATATAGATCATATTTATCCCCTCTATATTTATTTTCTTAAAAAATATTAAATCCTGTTTTTTTTGTGATTATAGAATATTTAAATTACTTAATCAGTTTTTGGTTAAAAAAATTAATCCGAAATTTACCTAAGTTGTTGGTTGGAGAAGCAAATTTTTGACGAAGAAACGATGATCCTGGCAGAACTACAACTTGGAGCGCCTGAACACAATGCAAATAAGCTATGTTCATTGGTAGAAGTGAATAACACAATGTCAAGTCTTTCGCCGAAAAATAAAAAACATCAAGTTAAAAAGATGCTAACATTTTTATTAAATAATGCTTAAATTACATTTGCATTGTAAAACATCTATACTCTCCTACAAGTGGGAGGTTGAAAATTCAATACCGCTTATAATCTGTCTATCTGCTTTTGTAATTCAAAAGAAGAAGAGAAAAGGAGGGCACACAAATGATGGAGAGGGAGCAAACTTGCCATCCTGTGCACCAGCTGGACCACAGATCTTGGTTTTTGTATTTGGACACAGCTGGGGACGCAGTTTTGTGGCTTAGAAGCATGGAAGGGGTAAAATCAAATCACAGACACATGAAAGGTTTATATCTATGACAGGGATTGTGAGTTTTTGTGTGGCTGAGAGAGATAGTGGCTCCCATCTCTTCAAGTATTCGATCAGATTTTTTTCTCCTCCAACACTGGATTCTCACACGTAGCATTGGCTTTTAATAATTTAATTTGATTGATTCTTCTATCATCATACAATCCTGCATTTACAAAATAAAATACAATATTTACCTTCACCTTTTGATATGTTCCTTTATTTCTTTCGAATTATATAAATATACAAGAAACTGCACTTTCCACTGACTCTCAGCATGATAACTCGAATAGAGTCCCATGCAACATTGGATAAACATGGTCTTCCCGATGTAAGACAAATTTGGTCAGTCATAAATAGAGAGACATGATCATATTAGATGTAATGGAAATCTCGCTGAAAAATGTCTTCACATGGCTATATATTTATCAACAATTGCTTAAGTTTGTATATTTTCAAGAGATTGTATCCATCTATCTATCTCGGAAAGCAGTCAATCACACTTGTCCGGCCTCATGCTAGATTCGAATCAAAATCCAAGCAACAGTTGCTTAATATTCAGAGTGACATGGAATGAAAACTAGATGCAAGAAACTTGAGGTAGGCAACTCATCAATTTATTTGAATCTTCTATGGCTCTCCGCCTGGGTTACAGTTAAATTAACGCAACTTGTGCTGGAAGCAAAGAACTCAAGAAGCATAACATTATACAATTTACACAAGGCAACCGGGCAGGATCCTACAATATAATGCTCTATTACAAGCCTCTGTAAGAACAATGACATGAAGATGGGTTGGGAAAACTTTCGAAACTGAAAATTGTCTTACGCAGCAACTGGTGTGCCGGCTTCATCAAGAGCTAGGACACCAGGAAGCTCTTTGCCTTCCAACAACTCCAAACTGGCACCTCCACCAGTAGAAATGTGGCTCATCACGCTGGCAACTCCAACTTTCTCAACGGCTGCAACAGAATCTCCTCCTCCAATGATGGTTGTCACTCCCTTTCCACTGAGGTCTGCTAGCTTCTTAGCAATGGCCTGTAAGATGGGGCACCAAATAAAATAATGAGATATTGCAGTAACTGCAGTTGCAATCTGAATCTTCACTTTAGGAAGATTAAGTGCCATGCTTATAACACACGAAGTGGGTTTTAGGGCAGACATCTTCCTGAAACTCTATTCTACGAAGTTGAGTGGGGACAATGACTGACATTGAACCAGGTTGCATCTGAACTCTTAGATTTTAGAACATGTATGTAAATTTGACAGCAAGCAGACAAAAGCATTAGAGTATAAACTGAACTCCTTGTGCAAGTATCCTTGCATACCTCTGTGCCAACAGCAAACTTGTCAAACTCAAACACTCCCATGGGACCATTCCATATGATGGTTTTGGTAGTGTCCAAAGCTTCGTTGAATGATTTAATCGAGTCTGGTCCAATATCCAATCCCATCCAGCCATCAGGGATAGCAGATGCTGGCACAATCTGCAATGATACAAGAATGGAAATGATTATCCAAAAGCTTTGGATCAGAAGATTTTGATAGTAGACGACAAACGTCTGTAACTAATGATGGCAATGATCGCCTATAGGACTGAGGAAAATAGCATCTATATTAGTGAGCTTAGAAAACAAACCTTGCTGTTTGCATCAGGAGCAAATTTGTCTGCAATCACCACATCACTGGGTAACAAGAGATTCACACCCTTTGCCTTCGCTTTGGCGAGGAGTGACGTAGCAAGATCCAATTTATCTTCCTCTACAAGGGATGCACCGACTGAGAGACCCTGTGCCTTGTAAAATGTGAAGATCATACCTCCACCAAGAAGCAGTATGTCACATTTTTCTAAAAGCGATTCAATAACTCCAATTTTGGATGAGACCTTTGAACCACCCACAATGGCAGCAAATGGCCTTTTGGGGCTTGATACTGCCCCAACAAGGTAGTCCAGTTCCTGAAACATGACAAGATACAATAAGGTTCGGCTTCATATCAAACCCACACATGATAATCCTCATTCATATTTTTTTTTTTTTGGCTGATCTTTATTGATACTTTTTGACTTGAATTCTAGAAGAAGAGAGAGAAAAACCCACCTTTTGCAAAAGGAAACCAGCAACAGAAGGCTTCAAGTATTTAGTGACCCCCTCGGTTGATGCATGTGCTCTATGTGCAGTACCAAATGCATCATTAACATAAAGATCAGCCAAAGAGGCAAGTTTCTTTGCAAATTCTGGCTCATTTTTCTCTTCCTCCTTGTAGAACCTCACATTTTCTAGCAGAAGAACGCCTCCTTCAGGAAGGGAGGCCACTAACTTTTCTACCTCAGGGCCAATACAGTCATCAGCCTTGACAACCTGTAATAGGAAAGGACCAAAAAAATATTTCAGAAATCAACTAAGAATACAATATTTAGAAATTGATCTCTTCCTTGTCCCTTCTCAGCTTCTCCATAGGACATGAGCATACCTGAATGCCAAGGAGTTCTGAGAGACGGGGAACAAGAGGCGCCAAGCTGAACTTGGGAGTGACACCTTTTGGACGTCCCTGAAATTTCATTCCAAAAGATCACAATGATTTAAGTTACACGTTGAAACCACAGATTGCCAAGAAAATAAACAGGGGAGGGGGGACAAAAAAAGCAGCAGTGATTCTGCAGATCAACACACTAAAGTAATAAGCGCACACCAATATTAAAAAACCATTTAATCTAAATAATTTAACTTTTATATCCCCAGGTCTACTACCAATGTCATCAACAATATAATAAAGTTCTTATGTCAACTGAAAAGGCTTGGGTTCATCACAGGTGGAAATGAGCAGTTTTAGTATTATCACATCATCCAAGACTAGGAACAGCAACTTTGTGACTTCCAGACAATAACATTGTCTTTCTTTGGTCCTTTCAGTATCTATCCACTAGTTTACGCTTTGATTTACACTAGTACAACTACACACTTAAGCAAAAGAAAAATCTGAAAGGGTTCTTAAAGAGAAGGGTTTCGGGTGCCGGAGCACTGCAAAATTCAGAGAAACGCATTCGGGAAAAAATTAGAGACACAAAAAGTGATTAAACAGTCTACTAAATTCCCATTAAATGCATACCAGATGGCTGGAAAGAAGGACTTTAGCTCCCTTCTGAATCAAATGCTTGATCGTGGGAATCGCAGCGCGAATCCTGGTGTCATCAGTGATGTTCTGATTGTCGTCCAAAGGCACATTCAAATCAGCCCTCACAAACACCTTCTTACCCTTCAAGTCAGCCTCAGTCAAATCACCAACACTCTTCTTCGCCATCGACACCACCCCTCTCACTCCCTTCCCAGATGCACCCATTGATCGAACTCTTGAAGCCACATGGAAAGCAAACAGTGGGTCGGCAGCGGAGAATCCGAGGCGGCGAAGATTGCCGGCGCGGAGGCGCAAGGAGGAGGAGGAAGAGGGTGAGATGTGAAGTGATGAGCGAACGGTGGAGGAGCTGGAGGTTGATGAATTGGTGGATGGGAGGAGAGAGAGGGTAGATAGAGCGTTAGCTGAGGCCATTGGTGAAGCTTGTGGTCTTGTGGAGAGACTCGGAGAGAGGAGAGAGAAGGAGGAGGCTTATGTGGATGGGAAAAACAGTGTACAAAGGACAGACAGAGAAGAAGCGAAAGGGAAGAAAGGAATAGGAAGAAGATGTGGACGTAGAACACAAGGGAACGATTGGGTGTATTTGGGATTTCCAAGATTACTCTTATCGCTGAGGAGAGGTTCATGACGTTCCATTCTTTCACAGGTTATCAAGCCCGTGTTTCGCTTCACTTTCTCTCTACTAAGCCTGCTTTGTTCTCTTTTTCCACCCCATTTTAATAATGTACATATAAATTAAGGAAATTTTGAATAAAATACCATCAAAAATTCGAAACCCTATCATTACCCTTAGTATGATAAATGCCAATCCAAATATAGGTACCAAAGTGGGATTTACAAATATTGTCAAATGACTTTTATATCTGTGAGTTTCTTTTAAATGCCGACTCAGCCAAAACTCTAGGATCAACAACTATGATAATTTGGGGTAAAGTTGATCAAGATGGAATTTGATCACACCATCCCTTGCATCTCAAAAATTATAGTTAAAATAAAATATAGTAAATAAATAGTATTACATGAAAATTGAAGAAATTATTTTTAATAAGGTTATAATAATCTGGAGAATATTTTGAGAATTTGAATCTTCTATCATTGTGAAAAATTGAAAAAATAAAATGGAACAGAATATGCATTATATATAAGGCATTTGTGATCTTTATTCTGATTTTGAGAGCAGTAATAAGAGATCTAAATACTCCCTCCGATCCTAAATATAAATAAGATTTATATTTAGGACCGAAAGAGTATTATTTATATTGTTGTCTAACCTGAGAGACATAGATGAGGAAGTTAAGGAGATAAGCTTAAACTTTATTCTGATGGACTGAAGTCCCACACCGCTTGGTTTTTCATACTCTATAACATTTATAATAGAAAGAGTCAACCACTAGACCAGCAATGCGGATCTCAGTAAGGTTAAATGATCTGCCTTTGAATTCGGAGTTTGAGTTCATCGGGCAACCAGATTTATGGGCTCCTCAAGGTGGTGACCTTGGTGCATAAAGGCCTCGTACTGAGGTCTCCCGCTCTGGATGATGAAAGGGCAGTAGGAGGTCCCCGCTATCTTTTTCCTTCCACTTCTGCATTTTTCCTTTTTTGCCTGCTTCTGATTATTACCAAGTTGAGAAGGGAGCCTATAATTCTTGACATCCCGTGTTACGTTCATGAATACTCCATTTTCTCCTTTTCCTTGTCCAGTGAATCAAAAATATGACGTCCCACGCCCCTACTATACAGGCTATGGGAAAAATACTTGGGATCTTGGGCGTTTGCGTTATTCCCTTTGAAAACATTAATAAATCGATCAAACTAAAGCCAGACGACCGCTTTTATTTCTTCTATCCTCGTTTATTCTCTCTCATAATTGGTTTCTTCTCTGGCTCACCATAAATCTGAAATTGGCGTTTGAAAATAATCTGATTCGTTGTTCTCAGATGGCATGATCTTCAAGACCTTCTAGTATTTTATTTTAGACCCTCAATGTGAATTTTCATTTGATGCTTTAGCAGGCTTCTCAATAATACAAGCACTGAAGATTATTCATTTGAGCTAGCTGATCTTTTTTGGAACATAAACTGAGAAACTTCATCGGATAAAAATGAGTTACAAAACAGACGAAGAATTTTCTAAAATCCTATCATCATCCTACATCTAACTACAACAAGATCAAGGTAATTAAATATATAAAAAATGGTATCCAAATCATGAGTAATGTTGGCTACAGAGTTACCATCAACATTGGCCCTATATACATAATTTACAGGCATTTGCCGCTCTCTCTGTTAATAACTTCCCAAACATATCTTCAAAAGGATGATTTCTGTAAGTCCCTTGTGACGATGTTTATGGCTTCAACACAATCACGATATACCTCTACAAAACGCAAAACCTTTGTACCAGCAGATCTCAAGCCCCTTTATGATTCCAAGAAGTTGTGAAATGGCTGGCAAATAAACTCCCAACTTACAACAAAAACCCATGATCCCATCTTCTTTATAATCCTTCGTGATTCCCCCACAATCACCTTCCCCATTAATTAGAATCGATCCATCAATATCTAATCTCACACATCTTTCTCTTAAGGGCTTCCATTTGAATAAGCTACTGCTATCCTTCTTACAAGAATCCCTGATAAAGTTTGATAAGATCAAAAGATAAAAATGAATCAGCATTCAATTTTTGGGAGAAAAATTAGCAGCCTCTAGATATACGAGAATAAATTAAAGTGGATGTAAATTTAGTCCTTATCTTATTTGAACATTGCATGAGAACAAAGGCAATTACAAGGTTTAACGACAGTGTTCAGTGGTGTGTATTTGTGAAGATGGTCTCATTTACACGATGAAGCTAAGAATCAAGAAAATAATGTGTTACCTTGCTTGAGGCAATAATTATTATAATAGTGTTGAACATTTTGAAGATGGGATAATTGAAGAGATACAATACTTTCTTACAACTTAAAAACGTATATGAAGTCAAACTTTCTACTTTAGCCATGTGATACTGTTCTGCGCCTTAAAACATTAGACGAATACAAGTTTAATTATGTAGAGGAATGAGCAAATCATATATAATTTGTTGATTAAGCAACATCAACACTACCTTCATTACCTACTTCTAGTTTTTTTCATAAAGCATTGAGGCTAGATGTAACGGTACGGTCCTATTTGATTGGTTGATATGAACTACAAGTTATTGTCCGGAAACACATCGTAATTGTCGTGTAGTTCATGACAATAACATAATTTTATAAAATGGATTAGTACTTTGCGCTTCTTTGTCATTTTCAACTTGCCAGGCTTTATCAATATGACAAGCTCACAACTCCCTCCAGTTCCCATTCATTCCAATAAACAAATATCAAGACGATCATGATACAAAGTACCACATCGGAAACTTATTTACCATACAAAGACCATATAATATCGAAATCAATCCTGATAAATTAGCTGCGTGGATCGTTGGCCGTGTTAATGGGTTCACTTGTCTTCATCACAGAGCTGGTCATTCGAGTTCCGTCGGGCATGGGCTATGCTCAGATTTACATGGGCTCAAGTACTTGCTGAGGCTGATGCATGCGATGCAGAGCGGCCTCTAGCTCTGCGTAAGAGGGAGGCACAGTGGGCAAGCTTGATCCACACCTTTTTTTTTTTTTCCCTAATTCTGAGAAAACTCGATGCGGACATTATTGAAAGTTGAAACATTTAGCGTTTGAATGTATCCCAAAAACATTTAAGTTTTCATAGATCCCAATAAAAAAAAACAATTGAACTTGAATTGATTAACCGATAAAAGCGTAGTCAAATTCGCAAATGAATTTATATATACACGAGAACTAGAGCTCAAATATACACACACACAAAAAGGAATGAAAGCATACCTAGGAGAATAGTCTTGAGGGTAGGATGCTGGTCATTCTGGAAGCAGAGGAATATTACAACCTTCAACGCCGGTGCTTTAGATGAGAACACGCCGGCCGTTGTGAGGACAATTTGGGATTATGCAAAGGAAAGTCCAGATTCCGGATGTGGGGGTGCGGCGTTAGAGGCGGAGAGTTGGGATGCGAAGGAACTTGCATGGTGGTTGCCGGAAGGTAAGGGTGGAAACAGGCCAGGCTAGGCCAGGCTTTGCTCTTAACAGGCCAGGCCTGTTTTGGAGCCTATTGGCCTGAGCCTGGCCTGTGGCCTGTTACAGGCTTACTTTTCAGCCTGAGCCTGGCCTGTATAAAGACCTGGCCTGGTCTGAAACCTGTTAAAAGGCCTGTATTTTTAAAAAATTCAAATTATAATAATTAACTTTTTTAAAAAAGCTAAGATAAAAAAACGTACATAATAATTTAATTTTTAGTCTTGTCTTTTATTTAAATTTTAGTATCATAAGTACTATTTTAAATCTTAATTATAATTTATAAGAATATTATTGGAAACTAATTGTAATTATATGTTAAAATTTGAAATAAGACTACGTTTAAGTACACACAAAAAATTAAAATTAAGACAAATAAATAAAGAGGAAAAAAAATACTAATTTTATAATGAATAAAGAGGGTATCATACTTAAATTAACATAATACGTAAGTTAGTTAATTTATCATTCTTGGAACAAAATTTTTCTTTCCTATTTTCTTTATATTTTTAAGATTTAAAAATCACATTATTTATTAATATTATTATTTTAAATTATATTTTTATCTTCACTTGTCATCTAAACTTCAAAATCTAAGAAAAGATTAAGCTATTAACTATATATTAAAATTAAAAAATAAATTAAAAGAGTACATTAACAATAATAGCATTAATTAACTTTTTCATATATTATGATTATAAATTTCTGACAAGCCCAGGCCAGCCTAACAGGCTTTTTAAAAAGCCTAAACCTGGCCTGTTTAACTAAACAGGCTTTCAAACAGGTCTGAACCTATTTTTTTTGGGAAACAGGCCAGGCCAGGCCATAGGCCCCTGACAGGCCGCCTGGCCTGTTTCCACCCCTACCGGAAGGTGACTGTAGAGGTTGATTCGGAGGTCCTGGTGAAGAGACTGAGGGGGGAGGAGGAGGAAGACGAAGTGATGTTCGCCAGCGCCAACCACTCTCGCACAACGGCGGAAGAAGCGACGGCGAGGAGGCGGCTTAGCAGTTTGAGGAATTATATGTGTGGTCATCAGATGTACTGGAATCCAATATTGGCCAATTGGGACTTTGGGTGTTTGGGCCCTTTTTTTAATTTTCAGACTAACGAATAAATCTGGGCTCTGGTCCTCTTGTTAGCCCACAGACGCGGGGGAGGTGGCTAAAGGATAAATTGAAGCGATCCATTTCACGGAGAAAACAAAATAGGTGTTTTGTTCTATCTTAACTAGATATTCTCATGTTCTCTTACTCCTCACGGATCTCTGCCTGGTACCCAGCTCAAAGGCTGAGCAAACTGTAAAATGTAGCCCATCATCCAATCCTATCTGATAAAAGTCCTAGTTATTTTAGGTTAAAATAATCCAGGTTGAGCAAGG